TTGGTTAGAATTCGGTTCTGATTCTGATTTCTTTCTCTCGAAAGTTTATCGTCTTGCATCTTTCTTTGCACGTACGACGATAGTGGCGGTGTTGTCTGCACGGCCGAGTTTCAGCTTTTCCTTTTCAGCGGTCCGAGTCACCGTGATGGCAGAGAGTCAGAGAATCAGAACCGAATCGTAACCAACAAGAAATTTTGGATCCTTGGTCGGTCAATCACCGACATAATTGTATGTGACAGTTTGAAACAGTTGTTATTTTCACGACACGTTCTTTCAATCTCTGACGTATCTTCTTTGTAATTTTCGATAGTTCTCTGTTAAAAATGCACGTTCCGTTTTCGCTTTTTTCCAGGCGAATCGATAGATTGATGATTTTCGATGATTTAAATTGTTGCAGGTTGTACCGCAAAGATGTACACGATATCTTATATCTCTATTTGTATAATTGCTTGTCTGATGATGATCGTTGGAAGAATATATTTTGTAATGTTTTTTACACGTGGAAGGAAAGGAAGGAAACTGATACGTGATAAGCCGCTTAAAACGATGATCGTACTAGGGTCTGGTGGACATACCGCAGAAATGATAAGAATCCTTAATTATTTAAGCTTTGAAAATTACTCGCCAAGAATATACGTATACGCGGATACAGATTTAACGAGCATCGAGAAAGTAAAGTACTTGGAAAAGAACAATATAGACTATAAAATAATCAAAATTCGTAGAAGTAGAGAAGTTCGTCAGTCGAACTATGCATCTGTTTGCAATACCATTTGTGCAACCTTGGAGTCCGTTCCTCACTTGTGGAGAGAATGTCCAGAGTTACTTTTATGTAATGGTCCAGGCACTTGTGTTCCTTTGTGCGTAATTGTGTTTTTATTCAAAGTATTTTGCGTCGCGCAAAGTACTGTAATATTCGTTGAAAGCTTCTGCAGAGTGAAAACACTGTCGTTGACAGGGAAAATTTTGTACTACATAGCTGATTACCAAATAATGCAATGGCCATATTTGCAAAAACCTAATGATGAAAGTGATAAAATATTTTATATTTGAATAAAATAATTTCAATTTGTATTTATCATTTATTTTCTAGTTGTCATACCTACGATATTTTTCAAAAATGTCTAATCGCACGATTATTGCAAGCTCGATACCTTGGAGTCTGTTAGGTGAAAATATGCAAGGTTATATCCCGATTGAAATGAAGATACGTTTGACGTCGATAGAACGTAACTTGGAAAGTTACTCCGTTGAAGATGAAGTGTAAGATAAAGCTTTGTGCGATAATGATAATCGTGTGAAGTAATAATCGTGTAAAATAATTGATTGAATTTCATTCTGTAATTTTTTTTATTACGAAATTTTTATTACATATTTAACAAACTTGTCTGATACGTCTTGACGTAGCTCGAGTGTTGCTTGACAGGAAGAATAATCTCTATATTTTTCTTATATATTCTCTTTCTAATTTTCAACTTTCACTTTCTTGTCGTGTTTTTAACGACGTGCTTATTTTAATTATGCTTGTTATAATTACGAGATAATTGAAAATTATGCGTGCCATGAAATATGATTTTCTACGTATTTCAACAAACTTTTTACGTAAAGACAGTAAAAATGATTGAACGTTTATCTTGTTTTGTAGAAAGTTTCCGTCGCTAAAATGGACAAAGAATTCTTTGATAATAGTCGAAGCTTGTTTGGATAAAACATGGGAAATATTAAATTCTGGTCACTGGCAATTTGTACCGGTTGAATATCGATATTGTTACACATTATGTACTGTTTTAAAGGTGGAACAAATACGTTTTATCGAGTATATCGTTTTTCCATTATATTCATATTCGTGTGTGTACTGATTATGTTTGTACTTGATATCTATCTTTCTGTATCCTCAGGCGGTTCTGCTAGAGCTTCGGTATAGCAGCGATAGTCGGAAACAATTTACAAAGAATACGATCTTGTTGAAAAATATCATTCGGCAAATTGACAAAGGTATTTTATTAGGAGCACCACTTCCGAATGTAGTGACCGATTTGTTACCAAAACTTGCTTCAAAATTGAACGTTTATATCGGTAAGTTCTAATTCAGATAATAATTGCATCGATACGATGAAATATTCTTAGGTAAAGTTTATTATGATTTTGTTGCATTTTTATATTATTATTTGCTGTTTATTTTTATTTTTGTTTAGCAAAATCATCGGAGCTGGATTTGGAAGAATTAACGACCGATTGTAAAAATTCGTATAATTCCATATTACCTGGATTTACTGAAATTGTCCAGTACGTTGTACCTTCGATGGAATTATTTTACAAGGAAATATTTATGCCGAAAGTACCAGCGCTGATGAAAGGTAACGTTTCCGTTGTCGACGTTTGCATGTTCTTTCAAATTCTTAAATTTATTTTTATGTATTTCTTTTACTTAAGTATCGTTGACACGTCGCACGTTATATTATAAATAAAATGTAAGAACATTTGATAAATAGAAGATTGACAAAATTGAAAATTATAAAAGTTCTATAAAATTGCTTGAATTCCTAACTTGAAGTCGGGAGCTTGAAAATTCAGCTTGAAAAATAGGTTCGATGTATTTCAGATTGTATCGAACATTGGAAAGCATTGAAGCGATGGAAAGATGCAAGATATTTACTTAGCGTGGCTGGAAATCGAACAGTACCTGTTGAAATTGGTTCGCGTTATACCGATGAAAATTGGTCGCAACAACTTGTTAGTTTTTCAGAATTTTTGCAAAAATACGTACTAACGGAATGTGATCAAGTTGGTTATTTGGCTCAACATCAATTATTCGAACAAGTATTGTACTTTGACTCGCGATATTTGCTGCTGCACACTTTTGATGCTTCTGATGAAAATTTAGATGCTAATCGTATTGATTGTGATGATTTCAGATACCCGAATTGAAAGACGATTTTACAATTCCTGAATATTGTAACTTTACAGATGGTGATAACGTGGAACAGCCAGATGTAAATGCTTGGTTTGGACCTAGCGGGACTGTTTCACCCCTGCATTTCGATCCTAAAAATAATTTTTTGTGCCAAGTACGAAAATTAATTTTCGTTCTGCGATAACGCATAAATTGCGATAAAAAAAATTACGATAAGAAAATATAGTTTATCTTAAATTTTAACTACATAATTTTATGATTTATTCTATTAAATATCGTTACGGTCGAGAAATATTTTATTTGTATCTTTCTAAATATTTAGGAACTGAACGTTTTGTATAAAATTTAGTCGTCGCGTTGTTAATGCTGATATATCAAGTTACAATTTAGCACGTAAACTTATATCGTACTATATGGTTTCTGTTGCTGCATTTTAGGTATTTGGATATAAAAGGGTCATTTTATACCATCCGAATGATTCGTCTAATTTGTATCCATACGATACCAAGTTACTCGATAATACTGCACAGGTTGATCCTTTGAACCCAGATTTTGAGAAATGGCCTAATTTTAGTAAAGCTGAAGGTTTCATGGTTTATTTGAAACCTGGAGAGATACTGTACATTCCTCCAAAGTGGTGGCATCACGTAACTTCCTTGACTCCAAGTTTTTCAATTAGTTTCTGGTGGAATTAAGTATGAAGAAATATAATATACGTCTTGAGAGAAAAACTTTGGTTGAATCTTGTTGTACATAATCATATTATACATAATTTAGTAAGTCGGATTAGAGTGTTACTGCGATGGAAAATGATTTCAAGAGCAAAATAGATCCATAGATACCTATGATTTGTACGACAATTTGAATTTAAATGTATGTATTATATTATATTATATATATATATATATATATATTAAATATAAATATTTTTATTTAAATATTTAATATTACGCGAGTGGATATGTAATATCCAAGAGTCCAATTATATAATCGTATATTTTAACTGGAATAGAAGAGACATATTCTATTTTTGAGCGTACGTGTCCGAGTGTACATACGTATGTGGACAATTCAAAACGAATATAATCGTTGTTGAATATTTTCGCAAAATTGTTGAAATATAGATGAAAAGTAATTGTGACTTTATTTTCATTTGCAGGAAGAAATTGTCAAAATAGAAAAGATTATTTCGAGTTGTACGAATTTTTCTAAAATAATCCATTTGTTTTAAATACCGACTGGATAACTAAGATGGACGTTTTCGTTATGTTAAAGAAACTCGTGGCTTGTAAAAGCTTGTGACGCGATTGTACGAAAAAATAACTGTGTAATTTTCTGTGAGCTTTTTATGGACACGTAAAAGGTATACTTTTTAGGACATATAAACGCTTGGTATTTTAATGTCACGCAGTATTGTCTACGATCTGCAGATACGATTGAGACTAGATTGGGGGGGAGGGGAGGGGGTCCCACAGTATCGTTCTAGAATTGTATACGCTTTCTTCTACGTTATCGATCAAGTGTAATATTTAGATTATAAATAACTTTAATAGTTATTTATATCATTTGTTATTATTGTCTGGTAATTTATGCATCCCTCTACTTTGCTACAAGTGAAACTAGTTGTAATATCGACGAAAGATAAAGACATAAACATATTGAAGATTATAAAAGACAAACATCATTTTAGAAACGTACGTACGAGATGTAATGGAAAATACAGAGCTGTACAAAAAGTTGGAGAAGCTTTCTTCGATACGAGATGACACGCAAGTTGTCGTAATAAAAATATTACTTTCTGAAATACCGGTGTCTTCCAACTGTCTACAGTTTGTAACAATGTTTGATAAAATTAATTGAACAACAGTAAGAAAGAGTTGATAAAAAATATATACGAAGAAGCGAAAAATATTCAAACAATTAAAACTCGAGTGATATACTCAACTCGAAATGATATGTATGAAGAAATCGAAAATACGAAAGAAGTAGGAAGAAGAGAAAGATTCGAGTTAATTGAAAGAAAGAGTTGTTTATCGATTGTAATTTAATTAGTCGACTCGTACGTAAAACGTAGGTAAAATCGTAAATTTATCGCAGATAAGAAAGAAGAAGAAGAAGAAGAAGAAGAAGAATCAGATGATTGAAATGCAAGCTGATATTTTAAAAAGTTTAAGTGATACCTACTGTATTTATTTCACAAGTAGGTAGTACAATATGTGTATGCGCTACTAGTGTAATGAAGTATGCACGACGTGCACATCTTGTTCGTGTATACAACTAAAGAAATATAAAAAAAAAAATATATATATATATATATATATACACATATACAAGTAGGTATATTTGGTACAATTTTTCTCTTTGTTAATTTGATTTGACAGTTTTACGACGATAGGACGAACAACAGGATTGTTGCAATTGGTCGAATCGAATCTGTCGTGCATAATTTTCTTAACGATTGAAACGATGAAAAGCTTTTGACTCGATTGTCTCCTCTACTTTAGTTTTGCTAGGAAACGACGTTACTAACTAACGACTGTTGTAAAACGATGATCAAAGGATGGTAAGTTTGGTTTCAAATTGGTTTCAAATTGGTTTCAAATCGGAAAATCTGTATGTGTAATAAATGGTCGAAGCAGATGCACGACAAAGGTGTTCGTGAGAATAAAACGCAATGCTATAAATACCTTGTGACCTACGTTTTCAGTATGGAGCGTAGGAAGTATATTATATACGTACGCGTAAAGTCTGTCAAACGGAATAATACACAGTTTATTGTTTGGAAATGACGACGGAGGAGGCATTTCCACCGATCATTCGGTTCCAGGTAAAAATTTGTGAGAATAACATAGTCGAGGAATGTGTAAGATATTGGCGTTGAAGCTTGTTTGGTGTTTTAAACGCATTTTAAACGTTTCTTTTCTCTTTTCAGTGCACACAGTCGCGAACTAAATACATATATTCCCGGTTTTTCGAAACAAACGTAACGTTAAAATCGATAACTAATAATTTTATGAATAATAATAAAACTTGTCAATGGCACGCCTGCTTCTTAATTCTACTTCTTAATGGAAGTTTCGGTAGTGTAATGCCGATATCGGAAACATATCGACTGCCTGTTATTATTCTCTTTGCGTTGATATTTCTGCGTTGTAACATTGGCGAAAATCCAGTATTTTCTGAAGCTGACGACTATTTTTAGAAAATTCGTATGATTAACGTATCGTGTCAGTTCGCGACAACAAAACACAGCAGGTAGAAGTTGCAACGAACCTGAAAGATAAGAAGAAGATAAACTTGATCTTACGTATTTACTTGTTGTTTCAACTATTACTTGTCGAATTTTTATCATCGTTTGTAAGAATAAAAAACGTACGTGAGAGTGCAATCTTTTTATTCTGTCTATTGGAAATTTCAATTTGAAAATTGGTAGCGTGTAGCGTCAATCACCGTGTTCTGCTCAATATTAAAGATTGTCCGGAACTGGAAATGGCGTTTTCTCGAAATGACTAATTTCTTTCAGCTTTTAAACTTATTATTATTATTTAGAAAATAGCAAGGGAGTTTGAAACATGTAGAAATTAATATAGGATATCTCGTACTCTAACATTCACAGCATTCGCGAGTTGAAAGCTTTTCCCCTTATTTGTAATATATACTTGTATACGTTGTTTTGTTTTCTAGAACGTAATAGCATTATTTTACAAAGTGTAATAGTACTAATAAATGATTACTTATTCACTGCATTTTATAATTCTCCTTAACCTGTCACAATTCGATTTTCACTGTACTATTCTCATTCGTTATTCGTCTATGTTTTTCTACAACATAATTTCGCAACACGCAAGTGAGCAAATGCTACCGATTGTAGAGAATTTTATGTAATTTAAAGAACGCAAGATCGTTATCAATTGTATATAAATAATATCACGAATAATGTCGAATTTATCGAAATTACGTTTGAAAATGTTACTATGCTCGTGTTCACTTGTCGCACTCGATATATATATATATATATATATATATTATAGACAATGCGTATTATATTTATCAACAAGAATGGAGGAATCGGTGATTAATTGATAATGAGTGAATAATTGAGGTCAAGGAATGTCTTTCTCAAAGGAAATTTGAAATTTTCAAACGTTGCTACGACGTTACTCGTAAAAATTGTATACGATTATTATATTATACCTTCCTATCAAGTTTATTTAATTTAATTTAATAACACGACAGATTATTTAAAAGAAAGGATAAACTTGTTTTTCAAATTTCTTAGACTATTGCACATGCGTCAAGTCTTTTTAATTTATACACACACACACAGACGAGTAGTCGACAGGATACATATGTGTGCAACACGTAGGAAATGTGTCGTGTGCCTTGTTAATCTTTTGTTTGTTTGTTTTTTAGAATGTGGGTTAATCGCATTTGCAATTTTGTATCGTGTAAAAGTTGTATCGTCACTTGCTCGAATGTAAGCATACTTACTCGAAAGTGATCAAACATGGAAATAGTTGTGAAAAATTTTCCTCTATTTTCCTCTATTTTAGTTGAATTTTTCGTTGATCCGTGAAATCGTATCGCGATATACGCACGTACGTGTAACCGTTTTTTTTATTATCAGTGATTGATTGTCAGTGATGATACTTGTTCGGCCGACAATTCGCAGGTTACGAGGAACCTGGCTAATTTTTCCCGGCTGTTGTACTATCCTAGGGGTTGACGGAGAAAGAGAGGGAGGGAGAGGAGGAGGAGGAGGAGAAGAAGGAAGTATACGAAGGAAGTGCGCGTAGGTGTAGCAATGTACGGTGAGGTTTGAGAGGCGCGTGCGCACAGTGCGCAGATGAGACACACCACCGAGTGACACACCGCATGAACCGGTGGGGGAGAAACAAGGAGAGAGACGCAGCCAAGGGGCGAGAAAGCCAACGATGCAACCCCTGTTTTTCCCGTAATCGTTGCCGTTCGATTCTGCGCCGTAGTTTGATATACGGGGCGGCTCCTGTATTCCTATTCACCTTTAGCGTTCAGCCCAGGAGTGCATGAATGGTGATTTAACGCGTGCCAGGGAAAAGAACTTTCGTGTCCGGCGATTGCTGGACGAGTGAAAGAATCTGGAGTGGAGAATCAGTGCCTAGTATCTAATATATAAAGCACACAAAATGGTTACGGATAGTACGAGTCAGGTATGATTTTATATATTTTTGCGTGACGAGAGATGCCGGAATGTCGCCGGTATTTTTTCATCCTTCGAACCGGGATCATCGAGCTGGCTGTGAGCTTTCACTTTCCAGCTTGTCGAAACCATCTCGTTCCCTCTCGTTGGTGCAACAAAGTCTTGGCATTGCATTTTAAAACGCCGCTACTACCGTTGCTTCTTCCTGCCACGAATTTCCTTTGCTCCTTGGCTCCAAACGTTGATGGAAACTAAAGCGGATTTAAAATTCGGTCCGACAACCATTGATAAAGAACGTGAAAAGAACTCTGTGTGTGTGTGTGTGTGTGTGTG